TGGCGTAAGTGCTGCTTTGTACACTCTTGCTTATAACGCAATCAATCCGTGTTTCTACAGAACTATACCTACTCTTAAACGCTCTTGTACCTCTTTTTGTTTCATTCGCTGCTCTCATCCCTATTCTTCGCCAACCGCCTCTTGAACCTCTTCCACCAGATGGAGTTCGACGAGATTCTCTCATGTTTCTCTTGCTTAACATATTAGCGGTCTTGAATGGTGTTTATCTGCTTCTCTTTCGTTCAAAGACTTCTGATGTAACTTCAGCTCGTCTTCTCTTTGGTGGATCATTACTTCTCTTGATTCTTCCTCTATGCCTTCCTGGTCTAGTCTATGCTCGTAATTGGTATCTACACAATATTCACTCCAGTTTTCGTCTAGAAGGTTCTGGTTTCATTCTTGTTGATGTTGATGAGCTTGAGATGCATAAAGGAATGGTGACACGTGAAGCCAGCCTTGAAGGCTACCAGTTGCTAAACGATGATGTAGTGCGAGCTGTCAATACTCCTGATCAGAAGAGTTTCATTGAAGATGACGACGGATGTTGTTGCACTAAGCTTATTACAAGAAATCAGCTTGGGATGCTTGGAGAAGAACATCCTTTATCTTTACTCTTATGCAGATCAGATTTCTGGCTTTACTATATAGCCTACTTTTGCGGCGGCACGATTGGGCTGGTTTATAGCAACAACCTGGGACAGATTGCACAATCTTTAGGACAAAGCTCAGAGACAACAACTCTTGTAACGCTTTATTCGTCTTTCTCATTCTTTGGTCGATTACTTTCAGCAACACCAGACTATATCAGAGCGTAAGTCCTCGCACAAGCATTTGTATTCCTCTGGTTCTGGCATTGTGAAGATTATGATGTTATTGAAATGTGAATTGTGCAGGAAGGTTTATTTTGCTAGAACAGGGTGGCTAGCCGTTGCTCTTTTACCAACCACAATTGCTCTTTTCTTGTTGGCATCATCAGGAAGCTTGGCAGCGTTACAAGCAGGAACAGCTCTAATCGGTCTAAGCTCGGGTTTCATATTTGCAGCAGCGGTTTCCATAACATCTGAGCTTTTTGGACCCAACAGTGTCGGGGTTAACCACAACATCCTCATCACAAACATACCGATAGGATCATTGGTCTATGGGTTCTTAGCTGCTTTGGTCTATGAATCCCATAGCGTGGCTGGCTCAAAGACAGAGTCGGTTATATGTATGGGACGAGACTGTTACCTCCTAACGTTTGTGTGGTGGGGATGCTTGTCGGTGATTGGACTAGCTTCAAGTGTTGTCTTGTTTTTGAGAACTAGACGAGCCTATCAACGTTTTGAACAAGATCGGATAACTTCAAGCATGCTCTATTCTTAGAATTTTCTCCAATGAGTTGGGTGTAAAAATTGGAACTCAAACTTGTGCGGAGATGTGTTAAGTGCACAGAAGTTTTGATCTTTTTTGCAAAAAATAAGAAGAAAGAGGGAATCTTAGGACATAACTGCCAGTTATTAACTGGTCATTTAATTTAAGAGTTCAGATTTTCTTTTGAACGGGGGAATTGAATCTCTGGACTATTGATGATGCAGATGTATGTCAAATGGTCATGGGTTCAATTATTGGGACTATTGTTTTGTTCATGTATAAAATTCAAATTTAATATGAATTTATATAGTTATAGGCACACAACAAAGTTCTGTGTATAAAAACAATAAAACAACCAAGTTTATTACAAGTAAAGTTAGAAAGTCAGTCATTCAACATTACTTTTGCAAGACCATTTTCCAGATTGTTTAGGTTCACAATACGAATCATTTCAAAGTCAAACCAGATATAAGTTACTACATTAAATTTTAATAGATTCCATGAGTTACTGCTATGAGATTCGAGCGAGCATTTTAATAATAAACGAAAACAGAACAAAGTCACAAACACTGAAGAAAGTTCACAATCCCAATCAGACAAAGGCCAAACCGGCAATAATATTTTTTATTATGTCTTGTCTAAGCAGATAGAAAACATTTAATAACAGCACTTAGATCTATGACAGTTTCTCATCTGAGTTCCAGCCTCATTACCATAATTTCCTTATGTGATTCACCTTTGAAAGTCATCATGATTTGTTCTGTAGATAAGAAACAAAAAAAGTGATTTCTCCAATCATCATTTATTTTAGTTCAAGCCTCCACACGCTTCAGCGTATTCAAGACTCCAAGATTCAGATTCCACCATTTTCAATTTCCCACCACTTTTATCAACACACATAATATATCATAACCATTTTCTGTTTGGTCTCTCTACCTTGTTGTCCTGCTATAGCGGGACCAAACTAGAAACTTCTCCGGCAAAAAACAGCTGAGAAAGGGTAACATTAAGAGACAGCTATTGTAGTTTAGCTGTCAACGTTTGGCTTCAAATTCAAAGCATCGCGTAATCGAACCTATCTCCAATCTTTGACTTTCAGAATAAACAGAAGGTTCTTGAGCTGTTTTATGTGATCTGCAGAGTGAAAGAAAAAAAACAATTAGATCGACTGATCTGTTTCATTAAATAGTTTGGGGTTGAGGTTGACCTTGGAAAAGCAATAAAAAAGAGACAGTAAATGTTTGATAACTCATTAATTCTTACACGCATTCTCTTGCTGCTTGCAGTATCCTCTACATTTGTCAATCCAGAGTCGTTGCCATATTCAGTTTCAGATCTTTTACCACTATCGTCAGCAAATGAAGAGCCCTCAAAGAGTTGTATACCACATTCCTTTATCTTTATCTTTTCTTTCCTATGGTCAAGGCAAACAAACTCAAACTGCACATCGTTATAGCTCAGCTCAGCTGGGGAATCATTGACTTCATCCGGAGAAAACTCGCAATTGAATACGATGAGATGATTCTCCGTAGAGGGAGTGTTGGTCAAACAACTAAAATATATATTATTGCTTCCACCTTTGAAGGCCCAAAGTACCCCAAAGGTAAACGAACCAGATCTTGATTCAACCACGATGCAAGCCTTAAAAGTTGGGAACTTTTTGAAAAGATAAATGGTTAGGACACTCCCATAAGCTCGATGAGTGAAATGTGCAGGAAGTTCACCACCCGGTAAGATAGCATACGCGCAATCTGACTGTAGGATGAGTTCTCTCGCTTGATGATTTAGACTGAAACAGTTAATAAATTGGAGAGCCATCTGTGGGTAGTCAAAGGAGCCATTTAAATTCTCAAGTGATCCACAATTATTAGCCATTAGCATGGAGAGCGACGCAGGAAGCTCTGGCAGTGACGCAAGATTTCTGCAATTATTGAAGATAAGGTCTTTTGGTTGAATGGAAGTCCATGTGTCTGGAAGACTCTTGAAACTGTTACCAGACATGTCTACTCTCATGATGGACGTGAAGATCCCACCAGGATGGTTCGGCCAACTATCTTCAGTCAGTGCCGTGCATTCTGAAAAGTCTACCTCTGCAAGAAGTTTCAGTTTAGAGATGTTTGGGGAGATCTTTTTCAACTTCTTGCAACCATTCATCGATAGGTAAGAGAGACTAGAGATATTCTCGATCCACGTAGGAACTTCCTCTATGGCAGTTCCATCAAGATAGAGATCTGAAATATTTGTTGAAATTTGAGGGAAACTTCTCAACTGTGAGCATCCATTGAGGTTGAGGTAATAGAGAGATTTCAAATTTATTCCGGTTGGAAGAGCCTCGAGATATGTGCAAAATTCCATGTCCAAGTCCTTCAACTTATGGAGATGCCCAATAGAGGAAGGAAGCATCTTCAAACTCGAGCAATGGCCAAGATCCAATCTCTCAAGATTAGTGGCCAACGAAAGATCTGGGATTTCCCTCAGGTCTAAGGAGCATCGTAGACTCATAACCTTGAGACTATTAAGCAGCTAAACAAAAACGAAAGGTATAGCCAACAATCATATTAGTTTCCAAACTTCTGCTAAATCACACTGGTCTTATGTTTATTAAGATTTCAACATACGTATATCACCAATAATTTAATACCCCTTTGATGATTATTAGCAATGGAAAGACGAAAAGAAGAGAATATGATGCATCACCAACATTTTCAATTTTGGTGGTAAGATTTAAACTCAGCACGTACCTTGAGTCCACTCCACAGCGTCTCAAGCTTGCTAGCCTCCATTATGAGGTCAACGAGACTTTCTCCATGGAAGTTAGAAGGCATGCATCTCATTGGGAATGCGTCCCAATGCAGTAATCTGAGTTTAGGTGGCAGATAATCTAGGCCACAAGGTAAGCCAACCTTGACTTCTTTGATCTCCAAGTTTGTGTAGAAGCCACAGAGACATTTTCAAAGTCTCGTGCTAAATCTTTCAAGCTACCAGGCAGCATGGATTCACTAGAGAGGATTTCTTTACCCATTTTTCGTAGCAAACAATGCATCACTATTTCCCCGTTGGAGGATACACGAATGAGAGACCTATCGGCTAAGACCTTGAGCCCATAACTAACGTCCATGTCAATAATTTTAGCAATAAGTCGTGCCACCAAACGAGCATCCTCGTCATTGAACAAACCTGCTATGTAAAGAAATAAAGCTTTATACATCTCCTGTAAACCATCATAACTGACTCTCGGTACTTCTTCAACTTCATTACCAGAAAACTCCATTGGATCAGAGGACAAAACTGGTAAAACATTCTCAAGGCTGGTATCACGAGTTGTAGCAGTTAATACACGGACTCCACATTTTGTCACTTTGCAACTATCATATAGAAGCTTTGTCTGCTTGTCGACAGGAAAGAATTCAAACACTACAAAATCAGCGCATATATCGGGGTCATTTCCATCAGCAGTACTTGGACGCATGTTGACATCAAAGAAGACAAACATATGATCATTTAGAAGTTTTGGAACAGCTTTTCCTGGAGCCCAACAATGCAAATTTCTTTCTATCTTATGAGAGTGGCCTTCCTTGTTTTTCCATCTGCAAACACATCTAATGCCAAAACCATTAGCATCATAGAAATCCTCAGAAAATGCAACTTCCACCAGCATAGCAAAGCCCACAAGCGTGTTCCTCCAAGAAGGATTCAGTCGTGCCATTACAGAAGATCCTTGTTGCAGATCAAGTGTGGAATTCTGAATCGCATGCGAGGGCGCACAGAAGCTGAAAGCCAGAGCTCTATTGAGTTCCTGTTGCAATAACGCAAAGTAAGTCATGTATGATAGAGAAAGGTGTTGCTGGGTATAGACGAGAGAGAGAGACATAGAGAGTATTACTTGTTGATGGTCTCTTGGTATGTATTTGAAATTATTCAACGCTTTCACTAAAAAATTGTTGACCACTTGTGGAGATAGATCAAAACAATTACTGAAATTGTAATGCATAGGAAGCTTCTCGAAGTCCAAACGAATGGATGTCAGAGATACACAGCCATGTGAATTCAAGAGTTCTAGACTTTGAGGAAGTTGTGGCAATCCTCTTACCGATGTGCCAGCAATATCTAACTCTTTTAGATTCCGTGGTAAACCCTTAATAGTATCTAGCCTTGAGCAACCAGAGAGATCAAGAACTTTGAGAAGTTCTAAATTAGCCATGTTTGACAGACTTCGCAAACGAGAACCATGCGCATTCATGAATTCTAGACTTTGAGGAAGTTGTGGCACTTGTCTTACTGCAGTGCCGGCAAGATATAACTCTTTCAGGTTACGAGGGAAACTCTGAATAGTAGCGAGCCTTGAGCAACCAGAGAGATCAAGAACTTTGAGAAGTTCTAAATTAGCCATGTTTGGCAGACTTCTCAAACGAGATCCATGTGCATTCAAAAGTTCTAGACTTTGAGGAAGTTGTGCCACTTGTCTTACTGCAGTGCCGACAAGATATAACTCTTTCAGGTTACGAGGGAAACTCTGAATAGTATTGAGCCTTGAGCAACCAGAGAGATCAAGAACTTTGAGAAGTTCTAAGTTAGCCATGTTTGGCAGACTTCGCAAAAGAAAACAATCTTTCAGATCCAAGCAGATAAGCTTACCAAGATCTTGACAAGATAAGCTAGATTCCTGCAGACTTTTCAAACGCTCAAGTTTCAAGTCATCTGAAAGACCTTGGAATTCGGAAAGACTAACAAGCTCTCCACCATTCCGCTTGGCAATTGGTAGTTTTATTATGCCAGTCCCCTTTAGACGTAGTGTCACAATATTTGGTGGAAAATCCGGGACGCTTTTGATCTCTAAGCAACCTGAGAGATTTACTACTCGTAGATGTAGCAATTGACATGTGTCTGGGAAACTCTGCAGTCTTGTACAACCTTGGAGATCAATTACCTCAAGATTTTGAGCTTTTGAAAGATCGTCAACATCAACTAGTTCCTGGGAATGACAAAGCCTAATCGTCCTCAACATCTCCAGGTTCTGAGAAAATAAAAGGCAAAAGGAATTAAAAAAAAATCTGTAAGTATTGGTAAGGGTGAAATACATGTATAAGAGTTCGCTTACCTTGGTTCCACCCCAAAGTTTCTGAAGTTGACTGTACGGCATGTTGATTTCAACGAGGTGCCTAGGATCAAACTTTTGAGGCAAAGATTGCAGAGGATAGTTGTCCCAATGAAGGAGTCTTAGCTCATTAGGAAGAGAATGCAGAGAGCCTTTGGGGAAATTGATTACATGATTGATTTCAGGATTGGAACAGAAAATCTTGAGCAATCTAAGGTTCAGCATATTATCAAAGGCAGCAGGCTTAATATCAAAACTTATGTCTGTTGTGTCCAGAAAGATGCCTTCGACGTCCTCGGTGCCCTGAAAGAATATGGGAAGTCGATATATCAGGATTCAGGACGTTGGCTCATATTCAAAAAGTTTATTAAATATTAAACTACGGAAATATAACAGACCTGAGCACGTTTTAAAGTTCTTTTGTGTTCATTATCTTCTAATAAGTACTTGATGCTCCAAGGTTCCCACAGTCTACGGCGCCTCTCAATATAAATTGTTTCTCCATTAATTATTTCTTGGCCAACATCCTGGATCAGATTATGCATTTGCAAAATGTTTTCTGAAAAAGTCACCAGGCCCTTGTCAACAAGCACATCCACTCCAACATGCGGAAAAAAGTCACAACCTTCTAGCAGTTGCATTACGTAGTCCACATTTTCTCCTCTGAAGAAACAAGCAATGTCTAGAAAAATGTTCTTTTCGCTGTCATTGAGTGTATCATAGCTGCTCTTGAATGCATCAAAAATCTGGAAGGGAAGACGTGGCTTGAGTCTGAGCAATGCAGTCTCCATTTCTGATAGTTTTTTCTCATAGCTGCTCTTGAATGCATCAAAAATCTGGACGGGAGGACGTTGCTTGAGTCTGAGCAATGCAGTCTCCATTTCTGATAGATTTTTCTTACCTTTTAGCTCTCTGCCATAAATATTGAGAGCTAACGGATGTCCACTAGCATATTTTATCACTTTCATTGACAGCTCTGGGAGATTCCGCTCTTCCTTGTCGTTTCTAAATACATACAACGAAATGAGTTTAAGAGACTCTTTCTCATTTAAACCCTGAACCTCGTATATTTGATCGACTTGACAGAGGCGAAACACCTGTTTATCTCTAGAGGTTATGATGATTAGGCTTTCGGGACCAAACCAATCAAACCCTCCAAGAAAAGACTCTGCAGCCAGAGGATTGCACACATCATCAAGAACAACAAGGACTCTCTTATTCTTTAATTTATATCTAAGCATGCTCAGTTTTGTAGTGGTAACACCATCAGGAGGCTTTTCTTTCAAAAATTGTTTCCCCAATAAACGATAAAGACCCTTCTCATGAATAACTTTGTCAAAGTCTTCGATAAAACAAGAAGCATCAAATTTTCCAGACTTTTGGTCAAAAAACGCTTTAGCAAGTGTCGTCTTCCCTATGCCTGGCATACCCCAGATTCCAACACAGCGGATACCCAACGGTTGTTTGTTAACCATGTTTTCTATCTGCAGCAGCTTCGAGTAGATTCCAATTCGTCCAATATGGTATAGCTTCTCATACACATCTCTAGCGATCTCTTCAACAAGTTCGGAGTCGGAGCATTCCTTCCTGGGGCATATTTGCTCTCAAGTAAAAAAGAAATGTATATATAGGAATAGGAACATTACACTCGCCTACCAAAAGGTTTTGCAAAGGACTATCTCCAAACAATAGAATAAAATGTTTATCTATCTACTTTCTATTGTTTTACAGTCTTGTTAAGTTTTAGAATTGCTTAAAGATTCAAATGACAAATATCAAATCCCTCAATTTTTCTTTTTCCTGTGAAATCTACTACACCAAATACTGCTTCCTATTATTGGATACGTCAAGATTTATTTTAAGTGTAGTTTCTTAGTGCCGGGATACGTCAAGGTTTATCTTATGTGTAGTTTCTTAGTGCCTTCAGTCACCCTTCTATCCCATTGAGTGTGGACGAAACATTGAACCAAGTATAAGGTTTTCAAGACTTAAGAAATCAGAAGAAACATTAAGTGAGGCAGAAGGTTTCAAGTTATAAGGAAAACATCAAAGAATCCAAAGCGGCAGATGGTTTTATAAAGCATCACATTCACAAGAAGATTGATTTTGTGCTCTGCAGGTTGTGATCGGATAAAAATAAGGGCTGAGATAGCAAGATAGTAGGCGAGAAATGCGGAGAATCGTCCTAGGATCTTGTGCCGGCGCACCTTGTCGGTTTGATGTTCTCGAGGTGAAGTTATCCATATCGCGAGCTAAAAAATGTGTAAGATTTTTCGTTGTTGTAAAACAAAGCAAGAAGAAAGGGAGAAACAGAGGTTTTGTGAGAGGGATCAAAGATCTGGTTCGTACACGTTTCAACAACTTAATTTTCGTGGATTTCCGGAATGTTTTAGGCGAGATATAGGATTTTCGTTCAACATCTGAACTCATTAATCCCTCGAGCCATTTACCTTTAAGTTGTATACTATATATTTCATTTCTTTGTTATTCAACAAAAGAGTGTTCTTGGAACAGAGAACGAAATTGAATTCTTCATTTTGTCAACAAAGTGAGTCTAATCCTAAGGAATTGGAATCATAGCTCTAAATTACAGCCTGAGGGAGTCAGAATTCATCAAAAGGTTCACAAGATGTCAGCAGGAATGATTGAACTGGAAAAAAACAAGTGGAGATAAGGCCCTCCGAGAGATATTATGTGCATGAAAGATTATTTTCTTGAACATATGATTGTTCATGAGATGAAATCCTATTGTATAAATACAGCTCTAGGAGCTTGAGAAGAAATCAGAGAAAACTTTTCAAAATTTGTGTGTTTCTCTACACCTAGACTCTTAATTGAGAAGTAAAAATTGATTGAAAAAAAAAAGACTCTTAATTGAGAAGCTATTCATTTTAAGTTTTATACTATGTTTATCATATCTATATTCTTCAACAAACGAGAGTTCTTCCAAGACAGAGCGAATCAATAGCTGAGTAGACGAAGATATCAAAATAACTAGAATACCTGGACTGGTGGAAATGTGATAAGCCTGTGATCTTCTTCAGCTCGCTAAGCCATTCGACATTTACTTTTCTGACGCCATAGAGCACTGGAACCACCACCTGGTCGTCGTTCCTCTGGCACCTGATGATCTTCCCGAGCTTGCCAAGGCATGCCGACGCCGTGGTGAGCTTGCGGTTCCCGGGTAGAACCATCACAGAAACCCTAGCTCTCTCGACTTTTGCCTGGGCCTCCTCCGAAAGGTTGTCGGCGCTATCGACGAACACATCATTTATGCCTTTTTCGCAGAGAGATTCGGAGAGGTGGCTGACGAAGGAGTACCGTACCTCATCTACGCAGCTGATGTAGACGATCATGATTTCGTGCTTCTATAGAAGAAGCCTTCAATTTGGTGGAATTATTCTGCTTCTTAGGGTATATCACGGTCGCATCTGTAATTTATGAATGTGTTTCTTCTTGGTTCTCCCAAAGTTGGCTTCCCGCACTCCATTGTCAACGATCCAAAGTTGATCTCATACGAATACGACTCGATCTCCTTGGAAAAAAAAATCTCAACTATCATTTATTTATTTTTTTTTAAATAGCCAAAAAACTGGCATTGGTTTGATTGGATCTAGTTGATTTTTTTTTTTTTGTCATCTAGAATTTTATTATTGATCTTGTAATGGAACCAAGGTGAAATACAAAGCCCAAAAGAGGGAAACTAAAGCCGGCGGACAACATGAAAGTCCCGGAGACAAAGCCGGCGGAAGACGAGATTCCCCGGAAACTAGGCTCTAACGAAGGGAAACTAAACATAGAAAAGCAAAAGATTTCAAACCACAAACGCAAGAGGTCGAAACCAAAAACTAAGAAAAAAGCCGAAGGCATAAACCTTAAAAGAAACAATAGACCCAAGAAAACAAGTAACCCAAAACTTCTGAAGCACCTGCGATTGAGACTTACCAAGGATGCCCGCGGCCAACCCGAAAATAACATCTACCTCCTCCTATCACGATGAGAGCTGATCTCTCGAAACCAAGAACCAAGACTTCATAACCCGGCAAGCGAGACAAAAGAGTTAAGGGAACCTCGAGCACACTTCCGAATACGACTGCTGACGACTGCTGCGTCCACTAGCGTCTAACTAGAAACCTTCAAAAGGCGATCCTATCACATCAGATCAGGAAAGCAAAGACAAGGAGAAAGGCCCAACCACTCGAAAACCGAGCCAGCTAACAACCGCAACGAACAACATCAGGGAGAAGAAAGAACTGAAAACTTAGAGGTCTATTGATCCAACCAAACAAAACTGAACTTCTTCTTAGCAAGGAAACAAACCCAAAGTGATTCATAGGTTGAGACGAGGAGACCGGAAACGGAAAGATGAGCAAAGGCTGGACTGAACCTGACTAAAGCCTAGACACCACTCAACATAAACGGCTTGGAGACAGTAAGCACAAAAGCGACAATGAATAAGGAACAGATCCAGTAAAGCAATGGCATAATTCACAGAGCAGCACCGTAGATCCTACAGATCCGGAACCAAACGTTTCGCTAAAACATATACCCAAACAACGCCGCTACAACCGTAACCGCAAGACCCCAGAATACACTCGCAACAAACTAGAAAAATCACCAAACGCAGGACGAAATCAATGCAAACAAACCAAAATAAACAAAGACAAAGAGAAAACTGACCACCAGCAGCCAAAAACCGGAGAAGCTTAGCCACCACCCAAAAACCACCGGAGAGAAACCCCACAACGAAGAGACCTCCACTACCGAGACACAAAACCTCCGCCACCACTAACAGATCCGAGAACCATGCCTCTCCTTAAACATCACCTCGAAACCCGACGCTATCTCCTCCACAAGAACCGATTTCCTTCTCGAAAAATCATGATTTGAGAAGAGACCAAAATCGAAGGCCATGCCACAACAAGGAGAAGAAACCACCAATCCAAAACACCACTCACCCCTTCCACCGGCTAAAAGCTCCGCCGAAATCGAACCACAGCAACCAAGAACTCAACTTGCCTTTACGAACCTCTAAATACAAACCCAACGAAACGAAAAAGAGAACAAAACAAAACTAAAACAGAGCAGAGGGAGGCCAGATCCGTTGCTATGGAAGCCAACGCGATCTAGCCTCGGATCTAAAATTTTTTTCTCGGCGGCGGCTGAATGTCGAGAGGAACGCAGAGAGATATTTTCTTGCTCAACCTATCAGACTATGTGCAATGGATCTAGTTGATCTAAATTATGTTAAAAAATATATATATATATATATATATAGCAAAAAAACTAATTTTTAAATTTAACTCAAACCTACTCCTTTTCTACTAGACATCACGATTCTCATATCTTTATTTATTTTTACTAGGTCAATAGTGCAGGTTTTTGCCTATGTTGCATGGAAACTTTCTCCGAGGTCCGTTTCCCGTTTCCGAAACGTTTCGGAAATGGAAACTCTCGGAAACACAAAAAAATGTCACGGAAACGCGTTTCTTAAAAATCTATGTTTGGAAACACGATGGAAACTCACGTTTCCGTTTTGAAAACATGACAAATATTTTTTTTTTACTTTGAAAATTTAATAAATAAATATCATGAAAATATTAAGATTTATAATACATATAAATAATTTTGGGAGACTCGAGTTTTAAGATCTTTTTCTCCACAAACCAGATTTGGAGGCAGTTTTATATAATCTTTGATGGAACTAATGAAAATGAGAATGAAAATGTTGGTCTAAATATTTGAACTTGAGCCTTTGGATCTTAATTTTTTGGAATTTTAGTTAAACTATTTAATATTTTATGTTTTGGATTTGTGTTGTTTAAAACATATTTTTTTTTTTAATTCTTTTATGTTTGGTGTTATATATATGTGTGTGTATATATGTTTCCAAAACGTTTCCATTCTCTAACTTTAGAAAAAAACCGTTTCCCGTTTCCGAAACGTTTCGTTTCCGCATTTCCGTTTCCGTTTCCATGCAACTAAAGTTTTTGTATTCATAAAATAATATTTTAATTAATTTTATATGATAAGTAAATCGATAAATAATTGTAAAAATCTATATATATAATAAGTAAATTTTCTCTCTATCTAAAGTGTCCACCAAAGCATCCACCTAAGCAATATTATTTATTTACATTGAAATAAATTTAAAACGTTTATTTAGTACATATTTATGTTACTTAGAATTAATATAAATTTTAAATAAATAAAAAAAGAATTATGTAAATAAATGAGATGTTAAAATATTTAAAATAATACAATGAAAATTTTATTAGTAATAATAATATAATTCAACTTTTAACAGATAAAAATTAAAAATATTATATTTTAAAATTTAAATGTCTTAATGAGTATTTTTTCGACTAAAAGACTTGTTGAAATGGGTGTAAGATGGTCCATAGGTTCGGGTTTTAACATATCGGTATGGCATGATCCTTGGATTCCCGATGTTAATCCACGACCCGCAAATGGAAGAGAGAATTTGTTACTTCCAAGCCTAATGGTTAACCATGTAATTAATCCGGTTTCTAAAGAATGGCACCTTCCAATTTTACAAGAATTTTTGGATCCGGTGGATATTCAAATTATTAGTGGACTAACTATTAGTCAAGTTTATAAACCAAAAAGACTTATTTGGCATTATAAAAAATCCGGAAAATATACTGTAAAGTCCGGATATCGACTTGCTCGAGGGTTGACAGAAACGATCAAATGGGGCCCAAATTTAAGAAAATTACAAGCATAAGCTTGGAGAATCAAAGCTCCACCAAAATTGAAACACTTCTTATGGCAAATTTCTTCGGGATCCTTGGCACTTATTTCAAAATTAGCACATCGATGGATTCGTTGTGATATTATCTGTAAAAGGTGTGAGATGGCAGAGGAAATAATAAATCATGCTTTATTTGAATGTCTTCATTCAAAAAAAATATGGGAATTATCCACAATACCTATGGGTTCATGTAATTTTCCTCTAAGCTCGAAAATTTTAAATCTAGATTATCTTTATTGGAGGTTACCACCTCCTCCAGATGGGGGAGAAAGAACCAACTGTTTTGCTTGGATATTATGGTTTATATGGAAAGATAGGAATAAAAAGGTTTTTAAATGAATACAATCTAAACCCACAGATATTTTAAATCACGGTTTGAGTGAGAAATCAATGTGGGAAGATGCTCAGTTGGAACCGATCGAAACTACAATAATTACGGAAATATTGGAAAGCCCAAACCAATCTTTAAGATGTCGGATTGACGGCTCTTGGAAATCTTCGGATCCAACTATGGGTATAGGTTGGTGGTGTTTTCAAGGAAATGATCAAACGATATTGCTAGGTGCAAAGTGCCTCCGGAGGTGTCCCTCCCCCCTTCACTCGGAGATGGAAGCTTTAATTTGGGCCATGAAGAATATCCTTTCTTCAAGAAGGATCGATTGTCAGGCGTTTGAAACAGATTGCTCAAAGTTAGTCTCGATGGTACAATCACCTGAAGAATGGCCAGCCTTCTCCAATCAGCTAGACGAATTTGGACTGCTCCGTGTCTCCTTTCCCTTTTTCTCGTTTCCCTTATCTCTCGTTTATGTAATGTTAAGGCGGACTGCTTGGCACGTTTTTCTCGTCTTTATTTACTGAAGTTACTTTTGTAAGCACTACCCCTCCTATTTGGGTAACCAATCAAGGAGTTTTTTAATAATTAATGTGTGGTTGACAAAAAAAAAAAAATGTCTTAATGAGTTTTAGAATGAAAGTAAATTTTAAATGGATGGTAAATTAAAACTAAATTTATGTAATTAGATATGTAAATTTTTAAACTATTAAAGTGAAACATTAGTTTCTTAGAATAATATACTACATATTTTTATTTATTATTAAATTTTTACTTAAAGAAAAATAAAAGATTGCTAAACTCAACTTAAATTTAAAATTTAAGATGAAGATATTGTAAGAGTCACACTTTATCTTGTGAAATTATAAAAAAAAGGTTGAAAAGTTTAAAACATTATCATCCATCTTTAAAAAAAATCAATGATCACAATATTCATGAGTTCTACAATAAAATATACAAAAATAATATGTAAGCCGTTAAAAAGAGTGATATCTAATTTGTGTAGCATATTCTTAAGTGGAACTACAACTTCATAAAATGATCAAAAAGAAAAACAAGTTTGACATTTCATCAATTGAATCAAATGTTTTTAATCCAAAAAATTAAATATTGGAAGATAGTAATTAAGGAGAAGATAGTTATGATATGTCTTGAAAATCAATGCACAATCCAATATATATTATATGTGAGTCAATAGAAAGTGAAAAGAAAGTAAATGTCGAGAGGCAACGAGTGCATCATAAAAAATAACGAAATAATGTAGTTAAAAGTGTGTGAATATAAATTTAAGAAAGTTAGAAAGATAATGCACATGACTAAAGTAAAATCTTTGAGATCTCATTCATTGTATGAAACAAACATGTTCTTAGAAAAATATATGACATACATTATTAAACAGATTATTAGATTCAAAGTCGGGCTTAACCGTTTGGTCATGTAATCATTGAAAGTGAGATAAGATAGACACATTAATGACTTAGTTGAAAATTCTCTTATGTCACGTTGTAATTGCTTCGATAAGTAAAACAAGCTCACTAAATCTATCAACATGGTATCATAGATGTACATTTACACTAAATAATGTTCATGAAACACGCTAAATCTATTTATATGCAGTGTTGTTATGTTCATATCAACATTTAATCATAAATAATATGTACACTTAGATAAAAAATTGATAACTAACGTCAAAACTTTTAAAGAAGTCACTTCATAGAATATGAATAAGAAAGAAACTCTTTTAGAGATAAAAGATCATGAGATGTCGTCAATAATGTTTTTATTCTTCATGTGATTTCTTAAGTGATATTTGTTATTACGTAATATATATCAAACCATTTTTTTT